TATCACCTCATGTCCACGCGCTTAACTTACTCTTAATTTGTACCTTAAACTAGAAGTCCAATTAGGGAAAAGCTACTTTAGCGTATGAAGATCAGAACCACTTACCGCTAAGACAACCCTATAAAAGTGCGTATATAACAGAATATGCATCACGGATGATATGACCAGACTTCCATTTCAATGACAAGCATTTCCCTTCGCCTGATTCAATGACGGCGAATCCTAGAATCTCCAAGAATGTCTTTTCTTTGCAATTATCATCAATGATCTTTCCTGCCACGTCGTATTTTGTGTCCTTCCCTTCCATTGCGTTGAAGAGCTTTGATAAAGGAAGAAGAACATCGCCTTAGATCTCTTTTGCTCAATGTATAGCATGTGAACTTTAAATGGAAATATCTAAAGTTATTGCTTATAAAGTTATAGCTCCAAATTAGCATTTCACTACTATGAAATCATTAGATAGAAGAGAATCTAGAAAGCATGTAAGCCTGAAATCGTGAGTTTCTAACCCCCTCTCTCCTCATACGAGCGTACTCAATTTCTATTGCCTTTGTTTTAAAAAAGAAAAAGGAAGTTGCTTGGCATCATCTTTGCTGAAGTTTGAAGCATAATTCCGAGCTTATATATGAATATCAGCCCTTTTTTGCTTTTACATAGCTACTAAAAATCTGGGAATAAACATGCGCTTTCTCGTGAACCTCCCAAACCATATACACGAAATTCATGAAACCTACTTCTCCCCCTGAACGTACTTAATGGATCCCAACCAGGAAATTTGAAATTGCTGGTACAAGGTATCAAAATGTCATTTCAAAAAATAGAAATTTATCATATTGTTCGCAAAGAGAATTTTGAAGTAGAGGCATGCTCGGTTGTTTTTTCTGAAAAATATTTTATAATGATAACTCTTTATATAATTATCCTTTTTATAAATTAATACTGTCACTTTCTTTTCTAGTTCTCCTTAGATTACAATTAGGTTTTTCGAAAAGCTGTAACATCGTGTTTTGGAGGAAACTTTTACATAATGACAATGGAATCGCAAAAGCAAGAAAAGAAATTAAGAAATATATTAGTGTCAAAATAGAACGGAAGGCGGAACACTGCATACTTCCACCCGACTCCGAGCATAAAAGTCGGATGATGATCAAAGGTGAGCAGAAGTTTAAAGCCAAGTGCGGATCAAAAGAAAAGTGAGTTGAAGAATGGTGCGTTTGATTGGTTCTTCATTTTTAACCAATCAGCGACCACTAACCATTCAATAAGTTGAAAAATCCAAGAGAGAAACGAAACCTTAATTTTCCAAAACACTTTATAAAATGACAACCTGGTTTTCTTAATGATTTTAAAATTGTCGTCACTATACTTTTTGGCACAACTTGGATTTTGACCTATGGCTGAATCGCTTAAATGACTAACTTTTCTCATGGGTAACAATCGCTTAGAATGGACGGGAGAATGACTTTAGTACTGTCGACTACTTGAAGCTTCACAGGTGAAAAACAACTGGCTATGATCATTTTAATTTGACTTTCATATTTTGATGAAGTGTTGACAACCCGTCACAAATAAGCATTTTGAAATATAAGTATTTAGATATTCTTAATGTGATATTAGTAAATCTTTTTGTCTGATTTGCGTAAGTACGCATTTGATAATAATTTTTTGAGGCTTTCAGTATCATATCATTAGCTTAGGATTTTCCCAGCATTTTAACCAAGAGCATTCTGCAAAGGTTTGCGCAGCGTCTGTCTCCATAATGAAGTGCAAGATGAAATAAGACAATGATGTAAGTAAAGAGACTTACAATAGATAAAAGAGCTTCCTTGTGATTCGCTCTGCATTGCAAAAGGGCTGCAACTACTTCTTCTGGTAGCTCTGAAAAGTAGAATAATTAATTAAAGGTATAACAAGGTGGGGAAAGTGGCTAGTGATGAAAAAAGGCCCAACAACTTTGTCAGAACACAGAGTTGATAAAAGAGATATACTGCAGGGAGCTGTGAGTACTTTTCAATTTATCAAGCCATACTTGAAATCAAAAGCAGGTACATTATTGATAAAATGGATAGGTACAAACTACTGAGCATGAAAAAACGTCGCCAATAGCAATCGTATTGTATTATAAAACTAAAAAGTACACAGATATATAACCGATTTTCTATAGGAGAAGATAGGCTAAAAATAAGACATGTTCTCTGTCACTCCGAGTTTCGTGCTTGCGCACTCATCAGACAGACTCTTTCGCATTTTATCAACTGCTGTGTGCTAATGCACATCAAGCGCTGTTACGTCAGAATAGACAACGCAATCTGCAATAACCTATTTTTTAAATATATAATCAAAAATGCTAAATCGAAAGAGAAATAACCCTTATAAATTTGGAAGGGTCAGCGGCATAAAAAAGAGAACATTATATGTTTGTGTCATAATTGTTTAAGAAAGAAGCAAGTTTTTTATTTGAAATCTCAATAAATCCTCTAAGCACCCACCTCCCCCCCCCCCTCAATCTTCGCAAATATGAAGAAGATGCCAAAAGCATCAAACTCTGGCCTAAGTTTACACCAATACCTATCAAAATGAACCTCACAAAAACGTCAAAAAATTGAATTTAAGACGTACCAGAGGCGGATTCAAGCAGAGCCCAGCAACCCTGCACCAACTTTTTAGGATCTTCTGTTGGAAATTCAATTTTGCTTTCTTTTGTTATTGCCTCTGGAAGTTTAAATCCAAGCAGTAAAACAAGTTTTCTCCAGCCATCTACATCTGAAAATTTGGCGCTAACGATAGATGGAAATGGACAATGTCAAAACAAAGTAAAGCCTTATATTGAGATTATAAAAAGGGTTGTAGTTGAATAATGGGCTTTTTCTAAAACAAAACTACTGACAACGCTAATGCAAATTGCTAATTTTTGACATAATCTTCTGAACTTTCAGAAACTAGCAGGGCATATTCTTGAATTTCTACCCATATATCAATAAATTCGGTTGACCTCTCCATCGTCCGTCAGAACCGAAGACGTCCTTGTAAGATAGTAGTTTTGTTTCTGTCCTACACATGTAAAGGAAATGGGCTTAATCTACAAATGTTATGTTGATTAAGCTGTCTAAAATATATTTTTGTATTTTTGTCATTTTAAATGTTGATTGCGGTCAACAGTCTTGACCTTCTCTTGGCAACCGATGGTCTTGGTGAGGATGCCTTGAAAATTTGTGTCATGCCACGAAGTGATCTATTGTAATCGTCATTTCTTTCCTTGGTCTCAACTTCCATTAGGGAATATAAAAGCAAAAACACAGAGGAGTGAAGTTATCTCGCCTTCCTAACGTCAAGACTTGAAATCTGGCCAAGTAATAGTAGATTTGACAGAAAAAATATTCATTCGCAAATAAATGAATTATTAATGGGTGGTTGTGGTTTAAATCAATACAAAAACACTTTAAACGGTCCCCGAACCAAAACAAGACAAGTAATTTAAGCCTTGACTGCAAACCACATAATTTCAATAAACGCTTTTAGTATAAACGGTTTTCCAAATATTTCTATCATGAATCTTGAACTCATTACGTCATCATAAGGGTCTTCTTCACAATGAGGGACCACCTTCTTTCAAGCATGGCCTTAAAAAACATCAATTTATGGGTTGATTTATGAAAAAAAACTGAAAGTGGCAACGACCGATAGCAGATAGAGATTGTGGAATGGTTTAAACAAGGTCTAGATCAACCTAATAGATATAAGAAATACTTTTTAACTTAGCCGTTATGTTACATTCGAAATTAAGCTACATGACGAGTTTTGTGTTCATTGTGCCTTTGGAGTCCTGCCTATTTACATTTTTGTTAATATTCACGTTATATTAACAATATATTAATAAATAGTAATTTTTTTATTTTTATCTATATTTATACTTATCTTTAACGAAAATTACTGTTTACCGGTCAGTCATTAAGAAAATATAATACTAAATAATAGAACATGGTTCGGCAATTATTGGGACATATATCATAGGCTGAAAATTTAGTCGAGATGCAACATGAAAAACCAGCAGCAGCTTTTTTCCACCACCTCAATCATCTCATCATAATGGATTCTCACACTAGTATGACAGCATAATGATAGAAAATGTTACAGTTACGACAGAAAAGTACAAAGCATAAATTAGATCATTTTGTTTATATCTTTGTTCTTTAGATCATCTTTTGCGCTTTTTCAAATTTAGCAACCTCGCCAAAAGGCTGTGACTAAAACCATGGACATTTACTTTTTCGCATTGCCGAATGAAATGATTTTTTCATGATTCTTTTTTTTACTTTTTGATGCCCAGGAGCATAGATTCATCAAAGGGAACTCATTTATGCATATTGGGATGATATCATCCGTTTCAAGTTGAGATTGTGAATAAATTATAAAGATTAACGACTTTGTTGATTATCACAAAGCGATGCATGATAAAATATATCACTGTTGCGAATTACTTTTCATCTTAACAAATGAAGCCACATCAAAATCTGAAATAGTCTAGGTATATAATTCATGTAGGTATATCAAATTTTGAGACATCTTCTTAAATAAAACTTATGTCTTTAAAAACTAACACAAGATCCCCCTGTAATTGCATGTATTTACTTTATCAATTTTTGCAACATGAACTATAAAATGTGGCATACAAACGACCAATTGATTGATTATTATTTTGCTAAAAAGCTACATGAATTCCTCATGCCGTACTTGTGAGAGAGTGGGCCTGTCATAGGGGGACAAAAGCCGAGAAAAAATCAGCAAAAAATCTGCAATATACAAATAAAGCAAATTTACACTGAAAGATGCAAGACACATTATATTTGAAGCTGCAATTTGTGGAAAAATGTTGCCAAATCCGTAGGCCAAATATGAAAAATAGGGTCAGGACCGTCAAGCTGCAAACCAATAATCTGTCACTAAGACAGGGGATAACTGTGAATGATGATAATTCTTCTTCATTTTTTCTCATTTTCATCGGTTTCATTGAATTTTATCAAGAGAGGTTTGCATCTATCAATACATATTGGTTAAGATCTTAATATCACCTGTCAATAAGATAAAAAAGAAGTACCTCAATGGTGCAGCAGGAAGATAGAAAGACTGCCGATCTTCAGTGATGCAATAAGCTGTTGCAACCTGCAAGACAATAACCTATTTCACAAAACTAACCAGGGCACATCTTGAAAAAATATCCTGTCCCTTTGCCACGCAGAAAAAACCATTAGGAACAGTGGTGTCTTAAACCTAAGGACAACTGAAAAGTATCTTGTTCATTGTTCATGTTCATTTCATTTTATTAAATTCCACTACCTACAATCAACTACAACTAAACAAAGTACAATAAAAAATATAAATATAAAAGGTATTACAATATAAAATAGTACAAATCAAGTACGTAGTAAAATTTTTAAAGGAGGAGCTCTCTCATTAGCTAAACTAATCAAGGAGAGAAGTGCTGTAGTATATTTGAAAAGACAAAATTCATGAAAAAAAAAACTTTTGGCTGACAGAATTTTGAAAATGCAAAACTCAAAATGTTGGCAATGCGGAACAATGCTCTGGGAAGAAGGATAGGTGGCTGTCTTGATCCCAAGGGGCATCACAACCTGGGAGTGTGGGGGTGTCACACCCCTAATTATCAGGCAAAGGTAGTTGCTCTGTTGGTTAGATATGATATTCCTTGATATGAATGAAGGTAAAAAAACTAATGATTTGAAGATTTCTTGCTGGCACTAAATCTAAAAAACTCAGGCCCTCTTTAGGTAAAATTGTGTCTTGTGTCCATTTCCCCTAAAGTTTCTCGGTAGAAGCATCAACTGCAATTCATTATGAGCTCCAGATTTATTTTAACATTCAAAAGGCATGCTAAGATGGAAAGAGGTATCTAAATTGACAACCAGTGCTTCTTGTTACCTAGCTTTAAAAGTAACTGACAACATGGTATTTTTCAAGACCACGGGGAAATTGTACCAGTTGTTTTTATCTGCTGTTCAATTTGTTTGCAAGAAAATAATTTTCAATAGGATTAGGAGGATTGCTTTAGTGAAATTTGCTTAAAAGAGTGCGTTTTTCAGGGAACTAGAAGCATCAAAACTCGAAAATTTCCTGCTCCTTTGGCGGCAGCAGGTGCCACCTTGGGTAGTAACTATATCCTTTACCCGTTTTGATATAGAGATTTGACAAAACTATTGGGAAAAGTCTGTTATTATCTTATAAAAATGAAAGTTGCTTATTATATACAGAGTTAGCTTGACAAAATGTATTGCAGAGGTTTGTGACAGCAAATAAAGAATTTCAGGCAAAAATGTTTTGGTCAGGTAAATTCGAGTCCACAAACTCTCCCCCCCCCCCAAAAAAAACAAGGCTTGCCTTGTGATGGCCCTGTTGATCCCAGTCATATTATGTTGCAGGCACAATATGCAGACTTTTATTATGAGAAAATAAATGCTCCCTTACTAGCTCAAGCATGTCATCCAAAGTTTGTGGCCTTTTCAATATATTCATCACAGCCGCCTTAATATCTGAAACATCCTTTGACTCTACCAATGGTGCTAATTCAGCTTTGATACATTGGCTTTTATCGCTAGCATCTGCATATTTTCCTTCTTGGTTATCAACCTTGTCTACACCAACATGCATAGAAAGGAATCCACTAGAGGTCAGGTCCAATTTGTTGCAGCTAAAAGCAATTACTGTGCCAGCAGGAATATTATAAGAATGGTGAGAGACTTCTTCTGCTTCACCTTGCATGTGAACATCAACAGCAACAGTGGAGATCTTTGGAATGTTTGCACTTACTTTTCCTTTCTCTGTTAAATAAAAACAAAAATTCATAAAATTATATAATTTTTCATATAGGACTTTCTATAAACATAAGTAAGCCAAGAGAGCATCAAAAGTCAATTATTGTAGAACTAAGCTTATTTGTATACTTCTAGCTTATTTGAAAGAAATACATCCAAAAATCTTGCAAAAAACCAGGCTACTTTACCAACCAAACAATGAGTTGGCCAACCAGCTAATGATTTTACAAGCATCTTAACCCCTTATATGATACCTCTTTGGTCTCACAGTATGGCAAGGAATAAGGTATATAAATCTGTCTCACAGTGTGGCAAAAAACAAGGTATCTAAATCTATCGCATGCTATTCCGAACCTGTCATATCACTTTCTTCATCCAATGATGCATCTTTCTTGCATGACAATGACTCCAGAACAACACAAAGTGAAGACCTTTTCATCTCATGCAATTGTTGAAATATCTCATGATTGCTATTCACTAAAGATTTTGCTAGCTCTCTCTCTAACTGTTCCCAGTTTACTTCAGTCTTCATCACATCTCCAAAATCAACTGTCAGAGAGAATTTGTCAGTCATGCTAAGGTCAATATCAAGTTCAGATGCAATTTTAGCACCGATATCCCCATCAGCATTGAATTTAGGTGTATCTTTATAGCCTTCTGCTACAACCTTTGATGATATAAGCTCGGCAGTGGAAAGTGGCTACAAGAAACAAATCACAAAATGGTAACAAGGAAACTGTTTAATCACAAAATTTTAACAAGGAAACTGTATAAAATAGGGAGAAATCTTGACATTTTCATAGAAAGAATTTCTTAATACTTATATGGTTCTCGTCTCAAACTGCAGACTTTTGGTGATGTATTAATTTATTTCTCCCTTCATTGAAAGTATTTTTTGGCAATCTTATCCTGCAATCAACATAGAAGTTCTGGTCTACCAAAAAATTAAAGATTTAAAATTTTCCTAACGACCGCCATTATCAAATTTTCCAGATATTTCAAAACACAGTTACAGCACACCTTGCTAACACTTGCTAACATATATCAAAATGATTTGCATATGATGACAATGGAAGAATCAGCTCCTGGCTCAATGTTGTTATAACGGAGAAATCCCTAAATAAATTACACCAGGGCCGTAAATCTGTCATGTCAATTGGGGGGGTCAGCAGAGCGAATGAACATAAAGTGTGCAGTGGGTCATGGCACCACCAAGCAATTTATAGAGTGTGTTAAGGAAATAGTTTGAGTAGCAAATGACTTGATAAACAAAAAAAGATTTTTAGATATTCTACAGTTTTTTCAGCCCTATAGAAGGTATTTACAGATATTTCATAGCTCGTTGACTTTTTTATAGTTGAGTTGATAACATTTTTCAGCGACAGCTTGAATAAATTAAACCTGAGAGGCTGAGAATCACGTTTAGTGATGTAGGAGGACCCACCATGGTTGGAGACAATGTGAAAGGAAATTTTTGTAATCATACCTTCTAAATAGCTATAAAAGCATCTCCCTGACCAAGTTTAACAAAATACTAAACCGTTCAGGATAGACAAATCCATGTTTCTCAGAAGAACACAGATTGTTGTTTCTGGGAGAAATTGGGAAGGGGAAGAGTCTAGTGACAGATGTTGGAGAAATGCTTAAACTCAAGTGACAAACGTTGGTGAAAAGAAAGAAAAGGTGTTTTCTATTCGAGAGCAAGCGTTTTTCTTCTTGAAACCATATCGGATTCAAAAAAATTAGGATGTACCTAAGAACATATTCGGGCTCCAAATGAAAATTTTCTTAAAAAAGTCAATGATGGACAAAATTTATTGCATTCTAATAATAAAGAGTTTAGTCATTGCTTCTCTCTATATTAAATGCAAAAGTACTTCTTTGTTGACGTGGTACTTTTACGAAGATTAAAAAATTAGCATAAATTATGCTAATTAATTTAACTCCTTGCTCTCTTTGTCTTTTGGGCTTGTTTCTTGTTCCTGTGCAGTTAAAATTAAGGAGCTATTATAGAGGTCTTGGTACCGCAATTTGACTAATAGAGGTTTCAGAAATTAGGAACTTTAGGACCTAGGTTTTGAGTTAGA